AGGACAACACTTGACTAAGCTGTGCCACACCTTGGCCTAGATGCGCCACACCTCGGTCTAGGTCATACCACTCCAGGACGAGATCACTTGGGTGCAAGGTAACATCTCGGCTAATGTGTCAAGGCGAGGACGGAGGTCAACAAGGGGTTCCAAGATACTACTAGACTGAGGATGACCTCGGCTTGGAATGATCTAGGCGTAACGTAACCTAGGCTTGGAATAACATCGGCTAGCATAACTCAGGCAAAGCGTGACCTAAGTTTCACATCAAGGAAGGAACAAGACAAGCACACTACACTTAGACAAATCACAAGGCTTCAAAACAAGGCATGGATCACACTCGCTTAAGCGAAACAAGTCACAAACATACACATGCAACTTAACAAGCCATAATCATACAGATGCTCATGAACATGACGAAGACATAAAATGTGGGTTCCTACAATGTAGGATTTACTAATCTTGAATTTTGGAATTTTGGGCATTCAAGTTTCATTTTGTTTTTGATTTGCTGTTCTTGTCAAAATAACAAGTTTAACTAAGCACAAGCAGTTATGAATTAGAAACAGTTCAATGTTGCCTTGAGTTAAAATCTATGGCTTAATCTAATATGTTTACTAATCTATATGTATATATTTATCTTTTATTGCAGCAAATGTTTTGAGTTTTTCAATATGTTTTCTTTTTCTTTTTCTTTTGCATATGAAAGTTTCCATGCATGTTTTTCTACCTAATTTGTTGGTCAACCAATTTACCCAATGGCCCTTGAACCCTAATCTCCTTCTCAGCCCAGATATTCATTTAAAAGCTCATCTCTAAGGGTCTAGTTAATTGGTTGGATTATATTATAAAATTGGAATTATTAATTCATAGGGCTGACCATGAGTTATTAGGGCCTAAGGCAAATTTTTTAAATTGGGTATGCGCAAGCTGTTCTAGCAATAATAGCTATGTATGTATCATGTCTCTGTTTTCCATTTTGTATGCAGATTACAAAAATGGCTTTTTCCTCTAGTAACAATAGCAACATAAGATTGAAACCAAGATTGTGTGATTGTGGGAGAACAGCTGCTATACATATTGTCCGAACCAATCAGAATGGAAATAAAGGGCGTATGTACTTTGTGTGTCCATCCAAATATGTAAGCAGTATGAAAATTTGTTTGCAAATTTGTTTGCAAATATATTAGCCTGATTTGATTAACTGATTGTCATGCATTGTAGATTAGTGAGGAACACTGCAATTACTTCAAGTTCGCAGATGATGATGACGACGGCGTGATCTCCAATGCTACACCTTGTCAATCTATAAGAAGCGAAGAATTTAACGATCTAAGCACAAGGGTTTATGAGATGGATAATGAATTTCAGGAGCATGGTAGAAGGCTTCGAAGGATGGAGAAGAAATTGAATGTCGTGCTTTATGTCATTGTATTTTGTATTGTTTTCTATTTTATGATGTAAATTACTGAGTTGATAGCTTTTGGGTAATTTGATGGATGTAGGTATGGATTGAATGGACTTGATGGATGTACTTATGGATTGAATGGACTTGATAACTTGAATGAACTTCTATTTTCAATTATTGTTGATAGGTTGAATTTCTTGATCAATTTCTTCTGGAATTTCTTGAATGGACTTCTATAGATTGAATGGCCTTGATAACTTGAATGGACTTCTATTTTCAATTATTGTTGATAGGTTGAATTTCTTGTTGAATTTCTTGAATGGACTTTTATGGATTGAATGGACTTGTTGATAGTTCAATACTAGACATGTTGAATTTCTTGAATTTCTATAATGGACTTGTTGAATTATGATGTCAAGTTGAAGGAGCTAAGTGGAGACCAGACTCTTACTCGCCAACAAATTGAAGAAACCCATATTAAAGGACTCTTACACTGCCAAACTATGAAGAAACCCATATTAAAGGACTTTTTACTATAGAATTACATTTTTTCTAGACTAGTCCAGTGTGTGTTTCTTCTGGGGCATTTTCTCAGCACACAAACTATAATGTTTCACATGATTGGTAGTGGTCTAATTGGGTGTTCTACGCAGTTTTTGGTCCTGCTGTCATAAAGGTTAGAATGTTGCTCATTCTTGATATTGTTCCATGGAATAACAAAACCATGTTTAAAATTTTCAATTTTTATGTCAGAATCATGCATCATAGGCCCAGAAAGATATGTGTTATGTTGTTTTGTTGAAGAGCTAGGGTTCTAATGAACCTACGACCATACAGCTTCTAAGTTTGCATGTGGATAATCAGCCCAGATGGATTCTCAACCTGCAGATGTTCTTAATCTCCAGAACTCATCACCATACCTTGTCCACAGACAATGAAGAAGACACTAACCCTATATCTCTGGCCAAACACACACTCATGTCAAACAATACCTGTGCAAAATGTAACCTGTGCAGAATCATATAACCTATTCAAATGTAACCTGTGCAGAATCTATTCATCATAACCTGTGCAGAATCTGTTCAATATATAACCTGTTCACATTTGATCTGTGAAGTACATAAGTTTACAAAATCTGTTTACATAAGTTTACAAAATCTGTTCAGATCTGTTAATGATCAAATATAAAACCTGTGCAGAATCATACAAGGACATAAGTTTACAAAATCTGTTTACATAAGTTCACAAAATCTGTTCAGACCTGTTCAAATGTAACCTGTGCAGAATCTATTCATCATAACCTGTGTAGAATCTGTTCAAAATATAGCATGTTCACATTTGATTTGTGAAGTACATAAGTTTACAAAATCTGTTCAAATCTGTTAATGATCAAATAAAACCTGTGCAGAATCATACAAGGACATAAGTTTTCAAAATCTGTTTACATAAGTTCACAAAATCTGTTCAGATCTATTCATGATCAAATAAAACCTGTGCAGAATCATACAAGGACATAAGTTTACAAAATCTGTTCAGATCTGTTCATGATCAAATAAACCCTGTGCAAAATCATACAAGGACATAAGTTTACAAAATCTGTTTACATAAGTTCACAAAATCTGTTCAGATCTGTTCATGATCAAATAAAACCTGTGCAAAATCTGTGAAGTACATAAGTTTACAAACATAATCTGTTGAATCAATTATAATCTGTTCAGAATCAAAATCTGTTCAGAAACGAAAGTCCACAAAAGTAACTATCCCAAGTTTACAAACAAAAGTGATAAATACCATAGTACAAAACTAAAAAAAAAACGGAGCGTTTGGATCCACATCTATATTCAAGTCCACAAAAGTTGAACCATCTATATTCGCCATTCCTGATTCACTGAAAGATGAGCTTCCAATTTTGTCCACCATTTGCATGCACTCTCTTGTGTCCCGTCCGTACAAGGAAAATAGTAGGATTCAGCTTGCAGTACCTTATGATACATAATTACAAAATATCATTAATAAGTTCAAACATAATGTAATAAATACCATACAAAAAATTGTAGTGGACCATGAAACACATACCCGATCGTATGTATTGTCTTCCATGCTGTCCGTACAACCAAAATTCAACTTACGAGGTTCACATTGACCCATCTTACGACCCTATAGTAACACACATTGGTGAAAAAGTTTGACAAAGATAAGTTTTGAAATTTACATACAAGCAGAAAATAAAAAATGTACCTGGACTTTTGGTCCCTTTTTATTCTTTCCCTTCAACCGATTCACTATTTCATCCACCTTGCTCACCTTTCGTTTCGTACATGGACGGCCTCTTCGGCGAGCAACCAAAGGACTAAGCACCTTGCGAGTAGTACTAGAAGGTGGCACATTACTACTACAAGGTGGGACAGTACTACTAGAAGGTGGCACATTACTCGCACAACCGGATTCATCTTTTCTTACTAGTTTCTTGATTTCTCTCAACCCAAGTTGAATGGCTTTGTGTTTACCATCATCGTTGGAAGCAATTTCTATAATTTCATCCAGTGTCTTGTGGTAGTTATCATAGACCTTTGCATTGTGGGCAGCCCCGGATTTTGTGTATGTCGTTGGAATGCATGCGTACCCTCTTTCCAAGTCTTTTCTCCATCTTGGCAAATGTACTTATCTAGAACCTCATATATGCACCTCTCAATGAGCACACTAAGGGAATGGGCACACATGATCTCCCTAAACTCAAACCACCGACACACACATTGCATTTCAAATTCAATTGAATTAAAGTAAACAACAAATTCAGCTTTCTTCATTTTGTCACCCACAAGCACAGCTTCCTTGACATGATAAGTACAAATGGATCCCTCCTCCTTCACAAGAGTCACATGACAATACAGTAGTCGCTTCAATTCTACTTGAACTTCTTTAAATTTCGCATTTGTGTAGGCTGCACGAAATTGCTTCTCAAACTCATACACCGTTAATCAATCACATAATTTGTTTCGAGATTTGAAGTCTGCTTTGGTCTCCTTCTCCACCTTACTTCTCAATGCATTGTCGTACTGTTCAACAAATTGCTTTAAAGTAGTCTTTGAGTTTACATAGCGATCAAAAAATGCATTCATGCTCTTACTTCGCTGTGTAGTTGACGTGCCAGCCCAAAATATATCTTTCACATAGGCAGGAATCCACCTATGTCGCTCACCATATAATACCCCCAGCCACTCGTTGTCATCAAGGCTAAACTTTTCAATCATCATTTGCCATTCCTCATCAAATTCATCTTTTCTGAAAGAATCATAGACTGCATTTTGTAAAGCGAATTTGATGGCTTCATATCGGGAATATCCTCTCAATTTCTCAGGTATTTTCTTCATTACACGCCATAAACACCAACGATGTCAAGCATGTGGGAAGACAATTTGTATGGCATTTTGCATGGCTCTGCACTGGTCAGTTATAATAGCTTTTGGAGGAGTGGCTGACATGCAATTTAACTATTCTTTGAATAGCTAAACAAATGTCTCCGTGTTCTCATTAGATAATAGTCGACAACCAAACAAGATTGACTGTCCATGGTGATTAACTCCTACAAATGGAGCAAACGTCATATCATACTTGTTTGTGAGATAGGTGGTGTCAAATGAGACAACATCCCCAAATGCTTTATAAGCCGCCCTACTCCTTGCGTCCGCCCAAAACAAGTTTCGTATGCGACCATCTACATCAAAGTCAATTGTAGAATAGAATTTTGAATTTTCTTGTTGCATCTTATGAAAATAAAATGCAACTGATTCGGCGTCTCCTACCCCAAGCCTCAATCTTCTAGCATTTTGAATGTGGTTCCTTGCATCTCGTTCATCAAATGTTAATGCCTCATATCCCCCCACTTCAACAACTATAGAATGGAAATTCCTAGACACCCCATTCCGGCTTCATCGTTTATTTCTAATCTTCTCTTCACAGGAGTATGAATCCTTTTATTCATTGGAAAATGGCGTGAGTCACTAGGAATTAAATCATGCGTATGCTCAAGCACAACTGTAGTTAACTTATATCTTTCATCCGGTTGTAAAGTCCCTTTTACCTTAGCTTTACATTCAATTTTTGATGACAAAGATGGTTTCAAGGGGTTTACTTCTGATCTTTTTGTCCTCTTCTGCGCCCGAGTACATTTAATTCCAAAGTATTTCACCTTTCCATCCGCTCCAACATTCTGTGTTCTGTAAGCTATTTCAAATCCAAGATTTTTAGCATATTTTGCATAAAACTCGTGCACTTCTTGCTTTGAGGTAAAACACATCCCCTTCTTAGGTTCTTCAATTTCACCACTCTTATTTAATGAAGGATTGTTCTCTTCTTCCTCAACTTCCTCACCCCACTCAATAGGATTGTTTGAATCAATGTCCATTGTGTGAAACACTCTACTGTAATTTGTATAAAATCAGCAGAATGAAATGCACAAGGTTAGAGACATCACATATTCACAGATTCAGATTCAGTGATATTCAGATTCAGTGATGTTAAACACCACTTACATTCAGATTCAGACATCACAGATTTAGAGATTCACATATTCACATAAATAAGAACCTGGTCTGTGAAGTTATAAATTTAGATTTAGATTCAGTCAATTTATAAATTTATAACAAACATCATTCATCAAAAACACCACTTAAATTCAGATTCAGGTTCGTCAAGTTATAAGATTCACATTAATCAAAAATCTGATTCACATTCATAACAAACATCATTTATCAAAAAAGAAGATTCACATTCACAAAAACCTGATTCACATTCATAATAAATCTTATTTTCGTCAAGTTATAAGATTCACAGTTATAAGATTCAGGTTCCTCAAGTTATAAGATTCACAGTAAATGTAAGTGGTGAATCGTATTTCATTCAGGTTCTTATTTATGTGAATATCATTCATCATAAATTCAAAAATTATATTCCATTCATCAAAATTTATAACATCATTCATCAAAACCTGATTCACATCTTATAACATCATTCATCATAACAAAAATTTATAACAAACATCATTCATCAAAAAACACCACTTACATTCAGATTCACATTCACATAAATAAGAATCACATATTCAGAT